GAAAGGAAAAGAGGGAAAGGAAAAACTATGAGAAAAGAAAAAAAAGGAAATGAAATCTATGTAAATAGGGAAGGGTGGAGGGGGTGAAGGGCGCACAGGTAATGGGGGAAAAAATAAGAACCAAGATATATCATGTACAGGTACAAGCACCCAATGATAAATGTAAATGAACTGTATACCTAAAATGTACCAATAAAAAAAAAATCACCACTGTCTTGACTCACACAGAAAGCATCTTTGGATATCTTGCCCTTTCCTAAATCTTGGTTGCTCTTTCCACAACAGCAGCCACCACAGTGTTGAGATGTGGATGTGCAGCTTTCACAGAATCCAGCCAGCTGACCGTCAAGACAGCTTGACTCACTGGCCACAGTTCTTCTCAATAACTGGCTGCATGTGTGTGCATACAGTCCTCAGTTGCTGGTCATTCATGGCCCTCTCTGCCAACTTGTACAGAAACTTGCTCATGGTGGCTGAGCTTGCCTGCTGTGGATGCTCCAGATGGTGGGCAAGGGCACTGCGTGACCTCTGGGCTCCTGCTGCGATGGGTGCTACTCTCACAGGGAAGCCTGGAGTCAGAGGAGCAAATGGTGATCCATTGGAGGAAGAGGTTCTAGTGGCCCAAAGGGCGAGCAAAGGATGGGAAAATCCACTTAAAGATGCATCAAATAAAGAAATGGAGAGCAGCTCTATATTTAACAATGGTTTGCATGGAGGGAAATAAGTGTAGGATACTGAAAACCATCTCATGCTCTTCTCTGAACCCCACATCGACTCCCCAAGATCAGTTTCTTTCTTTGTCTCCAGTAGTCACACGGCTGTATCTGGACATGTCCAAAGACAATGACATGAATAAAGCACACACTTTACTCTCAATATTCATTTAGTTCATTATAGCACAGATATGTGGAAATGTAATTTATTAAATTTCAATAAATTTTGAATATCTCATAATAATGGAAATCTATTTGTCATATATCACTCATTTCAAGAGAAAGGTACTACTCTTAAATTTTGCAATATTGGACAGAAGGGACTGTTTCTCTTATATTTTGGAATATTAATTTGTTCATCCTACATTTCTCTATTACTAACATATTCAATTAATGAACCCCCTCAACTGCAGCCCTGGCAGCTGCATGACTGTGGGTGTTGAAAGACATCTGCACCTTTTCCACGACTTTCATATGTGTGTGTTGTATACATGTGTTAAAATATCACACTGAACCCTATTAATATACACAATTAATACAAGTTAATAAAATACATTATAAAAATGGAGCAAATAATTTAATATGAAGTTTCCAAAAATGTTCTAAAAGGGGCACATGGATGCAGGGACTTTGGTTATCTATCTTTCACCACCCTTCCACTAAAGAAAGACTCCACCAGTCTGAAAATGACACAGCACATGATGCTGCCTTGGAAAAGCTGATGAGAAGTAGTTTGGTGGAGGCTCAGAGACCATGGAGATCCCTTGACTCATGATTTAGATAAAAAATGTCCCCTAAAGCACTCATGTGTTCAGAGGTGAGGCTTTTGGAAGGTGACTGGATCATGGAGCACTAACCCCATTAACAGAGTGATCCACTGATGAACTCATAGTTGAATGTGCTATAAGGAGGTGGGGCCTGACTGGAGGGAGCACTTTAACAGGGGTGTAACTCAAAAGGGTATGTCCTGTCTGCAGCCCCTTCATTTCTCTCTGGCTTTTTCTGTCTTTCTGCTTCCTGGGTACCATGAGCTGAGCAACTCTGCTCCACTGTGCCCTTTCACAATGCAATATTCCTACATTGGAGCCAGCCAATCATAGACTAAAACCTCTGAAACCATGAGCCAAAGTAAACCTCTCCTCCTTTAAGTTGTGGTGTCAGGTATTTTGTTCCACCAACAGAAAAGCTGATCAAGGGCTGGGGATTTAGCTTAGTGGTTCCGCCACCTGCCTCGCAAACGCAAGGTCCCAAGTTTCATCCCCGGTACCAAAAAAAAGAGAAAAGCTGATCAATACATTGACCTAATTCATACCAGCTATAATTTGCTGCCTTCTTTATAACTAGAAAAACAGTTTAGGGTTCTACACTGTCAGACTCTAAGACTCCTAGAACATTCCCCTGGGATCTCATTCCCCAGTGAGAAGCAACCTGAGCTAACACTATTATCATTTTGAATTGGTGCTGCTACAAACCATTACAGCCCACTGATGTTTTCCACCTCATGTTTGAACAGATAATGGGTGAAAGAAGTCTAAGGTCACTACGTTTTTTAAAAACCTTTGCAAAACTAGCAAGGCCAATTCCAAAATACTCAACCCAAGAAAACTTTAATTCTCAAAAAGTAATAAAAGAGAGAAAAGCTCATCCCAAAGCAAGGTGTTATTTTGCTAAAAATGCAAAAATAAAAACAAACCCTGCTAGCAACAGTATTACATGGTTCTTGCTTCAGACAGCCCTTCTGATTACAAAAAGTCTTATTCCTCTCCCCTACCAAGAGATTTCTCTCTCCCACCCAATGTGGCAGGAGAATGGTTTACTTATTTACCTCCTTCAGGTCCTGAACGACAGCCGTGAGCCTCTCATTTTCTGCCTGGATGTTAGTGACCACAGCCCGGCTCTGTTTCAGTTCGTTCTGCATTTCCAAGATCTTGCCCAGGTAGTAAGCTTCCTTCGACGCCGATTCCTGTAGAAGTGTTTCCTCCCGAGTCTCTCCATCCTCGGCAACTTTGCGGTGGATAGAGTAGGACTGCCCGAATGCCTGCACAGCAGTGGAAAGAAAAAGAGTGCTCCATGAAATGACCCAGAACATCAAGCATAGTTGGGAAAATGTTTTGTTTCATCTTGTGTGTTACAAAAAGCTACTCTGAAAGAATTCCAGAAGTAGTGAGGGTGGAGTGAGGAGGGCAGAAAGGTGTGGAACCTATATGTATGTGTGTGTAACACTCTGATGCATGAAATAATTCAAATCCATTTTTGTGCATTGTGTACTGGGGATTGAACCCAGGACCTCGTGCACACTAATCATACACTCTATCACTGAGCTATACCCCCACCCCCTTCTGAACTATAAGAAGAAAGACGTTTTTAAATATCTTGCATATATAAGAAAACTTGAAAAATATTGCCTATGTTATCAGTGTTTTGTTGTTGTTGTTTTGCTTTTTATACCACTTTATTCCAACCCGAGCACCTCAATATAAAACTAAACACTGGTGAACTGCTTCCCTTACTAATTCTGAATTACTGTAAAATGTACAAGAGGCCTGCTAGGAGTTCGACACTTAAATAAGAGTAAATCATCTGACACATGGTAGATTTCATATAATGAAAATTAGTGCAATATACGGAATTTATCAAAATAAAGTGGACTTTGAAAAACCAGGCTTTAAGATTACTAACATTGCAATATTTATGTTACAAATTACAGATACATTGCTTATTATGGTTCTAGCCGTGTAGGAACTGAAGCTCCTTTTTTTCAAAGGGTAAGAGAAAGAATTAGCTGTTTTAGTAACTGTACATTTTATATACTTTTAAGCACCTCTTGAATATTACAGAAAATAATAAACATACATGGAGGCTACAATGCAGTACCCTATTTACAGTACAGCTGAAGATAAAATTTAAAACAATCAAGTTTGAATGTACATAATTGGTAGTGCACTGACTGTATTACATCCAAAGGGAACAAAAGCCTCTTCCTTGCCCGCAAAAGACCTATGAATGGCCAGCAGTGCTTAAAAAAAAAAATCAGATACCTGGTTTGGTTCATTTCTGTTGAAGAGCTCACATGAAGGGAACACTAGTCATTAAAATGCATTTATTAGTTTTCACAGTTCTAAACAAGGTGGAGTTAACATTTGACTTCATCCCATTTAGAAAAATAAAAGGACTGGCTATAACTTAGATGCTACTAATATTCCTTTTCTTCCTGGAGATGTGGGACTGTTTTCTTGTGGTTAACTTACTAAAATGTGGGATGTACACCTCAGATAATAGAAGAAAGTTTACCTGAATACTATAGCTAAGCATAAATATCTTTATAATCTTTTTCTAAAAATGTTTTTTAGAAAGCTCAAATTAATAATTTCTAATTTTTTCACAGATGATTACTGTCCCAGTTTGGAGAAACTGGATGGTTAACTGTGGGTCCAGACAGTCATCTGTCTTTATCCCTAACAATGAGAAACGATTCCCTCCAACTTTCCAGTGAAACAAGTGCACACAGATCTCATTTTCCCTTTCTATTGCTTAAACATTCGTCAGAGGGACATATTCATGTTATTACAAATTAAGTTCAAAACACTTAAAATAATTCTGTATTAGAAACTTGACTCTATCATAAGTCTCTTGTTTCTGGGAGTCATACTGGGCTGGTTAAATGCTCCAATTCCACTGTTATTTAACATTTAGGAAGCAGAATATTCCAGCTAGTTCAAACTGGCGGTTTAATTACTATAACACTGACTTCTGGTTGGTTGTGTAGGTTCCATGAGGTCTACTCCTCTTCCTCTAGCAGAATTTACTCCTGGATTCTGTGGTTCATTCTTTGGCAATTTTTTAGCTATTTCCATGAACATTTCACTTACATTCATTGATGTTTTAGCTGATGTTTCCATGAATAATAAACTGTGGTCATCTGCATAGGACTGTGCTTCCTGGAAATCTATAGCTCTTCTATTTGCTAGATCAGCCTTGTTTCCCGATAAAGCTATTACAATGTTAGGACTTGCTTGCCTCTGAAGTTCTTTAACCCAGTTTTTTTGTCATGCAAAAGATTCCTCATTTGTGATATCATATACAACTATGGCTGCTTGTGCTCCTCTGTAGTACATTGGTGCTCGGCTATGGTATCATTCTTGACCAACTGTATCCCATATTTCAAACTTTACTGTTGTGTCATCAAGACACATGGCCTGGGTTAGAAAAGCAGCCCCAATGGTAGTCTCTTGAAATTCATGAAACAGGACTTTCATAAAACGAAGCAGTAGGGTTAATTTGCCAACAGCAGGCTCTCCCAGAAGAGCTAGTTTAAACTGGCATATTTTATCTCCAGTATTTGGCCCATTAGGTCTTGTTGCTCCTCGTTTAGTCATGTCCAAATTTGAAAGTAGTCCCTAACTTCAGACTCCTAAATGAACTTCCAGGGATGCAAGCTGTCAAATTTTTTTTCTTTTTGGAAGTACAGAAATCTGAGTCTGCACCACGTGGAGTCGTGGGGCTGCAGCTTCCCGGTAACAAGGCCCAGGTGTGGTAGGAAGAACAAATGAACGAGCCCGCAGCTTGCAGGGGTGTCTCCTCTTCACGCCGCTCCCCTCACACTGGACTGAGTGGGGCTTGAGCCGTGGTGCTGCTTATTTGTTATCATTGTTATGAAATACATAGCAGAGTGCTAATAAGAGCCAATCAAAATTCACGTTGTCATCTTTGTTTTAGGAAAACAAAACTCCTACAAACATTTCCCAAGAAAGAAAATAATGGTTTCATTATCTTCCTAATACATTAGCAGTAAGGTCTATGTTGTACCCTTAAGAGATAAAACAGTATTCAAATTGCCCAATATCACAAAAGTTATTGAAACCCCATCTTTGTACAAGAAAACATGTGTTCGTTCATTTCTGCAGAAAGAAATACAGGAGAATTAACCACAAACTAATGAAACTGTGGATGGTATGAATGGGGTAGAAAGAATGGAAGAATGAAATGTGACAAAGTGGGGGTGATACTGTTCTGAACATGCCTGTTCATATTGTTCTGACTCTTAACACATACCCCCTAAATAAATAAAAATTAAAATCAATGTCTATTTAGGGGGAACCCGACATATAACACAAACACTAACAAATAAACCTAGGTATATTACCAATGAACACAGCTAAACAGAAACGAGTGGGAAAGAAAAGATTTAACCTGAATAATTTTGAAAAACAGTGTTTTTACCACATACTATAAGGCTAAAGACAAAAGAGATAAACTGCAAAACACTATAGTTGATAAATTTGTTTCTCACAGGGACTGCATTCTTAAATTTCTCTACAAACATACTAGGATTCAGCAAGTAAGTAAACATATTGTGAATAATAAAAATCAAGAAGAAAAGTATTTTTGCAGGTTTCTGACTGTTGGAGAAAGAAGACACAAGCAAAGGAAGAAATCTAGAAGGAAACTACTGATACTGGGTAGTGTGGAAGGAAGCATTAGGATAAATCTACCATTTTAATAGGTATTCATAGCTAAAGATAAGGGGGCATGTTCATGTATGTGTATGTGTATATAAAAATCCATATTGCCTAGCTCTCAGCTATGAGGGCCTAGAAGCAATGACATACCAGTAGCAACAAGCACACCCAACACTGAGATTTTGATTCTAAATATAAATCCCAAATAAAAATAACTAGTGTTCTTTGAAGAAATGACTGAGCCTAGGACAGGAGCAAAATAAGCTTGGCACATCTGTGGTGCCCTAGAATAATAAAATGCTTTTTTAAAAAATGATAATTATATGTCAAAAGGTCCCAGGAAACTATGTGAAGCGGTGTCCAATGGCCAAAATCTAGGATAACTGGAACAAAATAAACAATTATAGTGCTGTATCATAATCCATAGAATCGAATATTTACAAGTACACGTTGATATAATAAATGCGGGATTTAATAAATGGGGAAAAACAGCTCTTCCTTACAGTAGAATTCTAATGATATGGAAATTTTTTAGTTAAAAATAAAAATTTATTAATCTAACATTTTTGCCAAAAACCTTAATTAAGCTAAGCAAAATTTTTACTTAAGCTTAATGCTCTTTTTAACTCCTGCATGAATGCCCCATAATTCACCACTACAACCTTCTCTTCTCTTCAGAACTTCACAAATCTGGTCTTCTCTTTGAATTCTGGCTCTTTATGTTTAACTCTGGGATTATGATCAATCTTCTTTCTCATAGGTATAAGTCTATTTTTAACAATCTGATAGGTAATGACTCTCTTTGTATTTCAATCTTCAAGAGCCTGTTCCTTAGTACTATTTTCTTTTTTCTCTCTAACTTTTGCCTGTCCACCATTTCTTATAGTATTTCAGTGCAGCTTCTTTGTCAAAATCTGAATTATCAGAGAGCTCTCCAGCAGAAGCAGAAGTCTCTGCAACAGCTTGGGCTTGGCGAATTTTGCTTTTGGGTTCAGTTTTTTCTTTACAGTACCATCCTTAAGGGTAAGTATATGTCTAACTTTAGATCCCTGCTTCTGATCTACAACTGACAACTTGCCAATCAGACACGAAGTCTATGTGCAGGGATTTTTCTAGCTTTTAGGATCAAATAAAAACTGACATTGGAACAATAGTTCAAGTAGCATATTCAGTCCTCAGGTACTAGGTTCCTCTTCCAGGTGGAATGATCCCTTGTGCCACCAACTGTAGTGATGGCTCCAGCTCATCCTTCATTTCTGCTAGCTTGACTTTCAAGTCTTTATCAGCTCCAAGAGATGCCCTTCCAAACATCTTCAACTTCTCTTTTAAAACTTTAGCCAAATCCTTCTTGACAAGGGTCAACCTCTTCTATCTGAGGCACTGGTTTTGCAAAGGCCTCCACCAAGGCAAAAAAACATCCTCTGCTGGACTTGGGCTAGGTGCAGCTGAATTGTCTGTGCCTCCTCTTCTACTTCTTGTTGACTCCACTGGGATTTGGAGCCACAGTCCATGTCATAGTAGTTTTTTCCTTTGACCCTACAACAAACTGGGATCCATAGAAGCCTCGTTCTCATTATGC